TTCTGGTCATGGTTGATTTTGATATCATATTGGGGATGGACTGGTTATCACCTTACCATGCTATCTTGGACTGTCATGCCAAGACTGTGACCTTAGCCTTTCCGAGTTTACCTCATTTAGAGTGGAGAGGGACCCCTAGTCATTCTACCCATAGTGTTATCTCATATATGAAGGCTCGACGTATGGTCGAGAAGGGGTGTTTGGCCTATTTGGAATATGATTGGGATTCTAGTGTTGAGGTTCCTTCTATGGATTCTGTGCCTGTAGTTTGTGAGTTTCCTAAGGTATTTCCTTCAGACCTGCCGGGTATGTTACCCGACAGAGATTGACTTCTGCATTGATTTGGCTTCGGGCACTCAGCCCATTTCTATTCTGTCATACCGTATGGCCCCGCCTGAGTTGGAAGAATTGAAGGAAAGTTGCAAGACTTGCTTGATAAGGGCTTTATTAGACCTAGTGTCTCGCCTTGGGGTGCACCGGTGTTGTTATCGATGAGGATGTGTATAGATTACCGACATTTTAACAAGGTTACAATTAAGAATAAGTATCCATTACCGAGGATTGATGATTTGTTTGATCAGCTTCAGGGTGCCAAGGTATTTTCGAAGATTGACTTGAGATCTGGCTACCATCAGTTGAGGATTAGGGCATCTGATGTCCCTAAGACAGCTTTCCGCACTCGGTACCGGCGTTATGACTTCTTGGTGATGTTATTCGGGTTGACAAATGCCCAACATCTTTTATGGATTTGATGAACCGAGTGTTCAAGCTTTATTTGGATTCGTTCGTGATAGTCTTCATTGATGATATTTTGATCTATTCCCGCAGCCGGGAGGAGCATGAGCAGCATTCGAGAGTGGTTCTTCAGACTTTGAGAGATAGTCAGTTGTATGCTAAGTTTTCAAAGTGTGAGTTTTGATTGGGGTCAGTTGCTTTTTTGGATCATGTTGTTTCAGTAGAGGGTATTCAGGTAGATCAAAAGAAGATAGAGGTAGTCAAGGACTGGCCTAGACCCACCTCAGCTACAAAGATCCGAAGTTTCTTGGGTTTGGCAGGCTATTACTGTCGGTTTGTGGATGGGTTTTCATCTGTTGCAGCCCCGATGATCAGGTTGACCCAAAAGGGGTGCCCAGTTCAGGTGGTCGGACGAGTGTGAGGCGAGCTTTCAGAAGCTTAAGACAACTTTGACTACGGCGCTGGTGTTGGTTTTGCCCATAGGTTCAGGGCCATATACAGTTTATTGTGATGCATCTTGTATTGGACTCGGTGCGGTGTTGATGCAGGATGGCAAGGTCATTGCTTATGCTTCACGACAGTTAAAGATTCATGAGAAGAATTATTCGGTTCATGATTTGGAGTTAGCAGCCATTGTTCACACATTGAAGATTTGGAGGCATTATCTGTATGACGTGTCATGTGAGGTGTTCACGGATCATAAGAGTTTGCAATGCTTGTTCAAGCAGAAGGAGCTAAATTTGAGACAGAGAAGGTGGTTGGAGTTACTAAAGGACTATGATATCACCATCTTATATCATCCAAGAAAGGCCAATGTGGTGGCCAATGCTTTGAGTAAGAAGTCAACCAGTATGGGCAGTTTTGCATATATTCCGGTCGGTGAGAGACCGCTTGCTTTGGATGTTCAGGCTTTGGCCAATCAGTTCGTGAGGTTGGATGTTTTTGAGCTCAGTCGTGTGCTAGCTTGCACAGTCGCTCATTCTTATTTATTGTAGCGTATCCGAGATCGACAATATGATGATCCTCATTTGTGTGTCCTTCGCGACACGGTGCAGCATGGTGGTGCCAAGTAGGTTACATTAGAAGATGATGGAGTTTTGAGGCTGCAAGGTTGAGTTTGTGCGCCTAATGTGGATGGACTCCGAGAGTTGATTTTAGAGGAGGCCCATAGTTCCTAGTACTCTATTTATCCGGGCACCGCTAAGATATATTAGGATTTGCGTCAGCATTATTGTTGTAGGAGGATGAAGAAGGACATTGTTGCATATGTGGCTCGGTGTTTAAAATGTCAGTAGGTAAAGTACAACCATCAGAGACCTGGTGATTTGTTCTAGAAGATTGAGATTCCTGAGTGGAAGTGGGAGCGTATTACTATGGACTTCATTGTTGGACTCCCACGAATTCAGAGGAAGTTCGGTGCAATGTGGGTTATTGTTGATAGGCTGACCAAGTCAGCACATTTCATTCATGTGGCAGTTTCCTATTTTTCCGAGAGGTTAGCTATGATCTATATCCGGGAGATTTTTTGACTTCATGGTGTGCCTGTGTCTATCATTTCGGACCAAGGTACGTAGTTTACCTCACATTTCTGGAGAGCAATTCAGCATGAGTTGGGAACACAGGTTGAGTTGAGCACAACATTTCATCCTCAGATGGACGGGCAGTCCGAGCATATTATTCAGATTTTGGAGGATATGCTCCGAGCTTGTGTCATTGACTTTGGAGGGTCGTGGGATCAGTTCTTGTCTTTAGCGGAGTTTGCCTACAACAACAGCTACCAGTCGAGTATCCAGATGGCTGCTTATGAGGCTTTATATGGTAGGAAGTGTCGGTTGTCGGTTGGATGGTTTGAGCCGGGAGAGGCATAGTTGTTGGGTACAGATCTAGTACAGGATGCCTTGGATAAGGTCAGGATTATTCAGGATAGGCTTCGTACAACTCAGTCCAGGCAAAAGAATTATGCCGACCGTAAGGTTCGTGATTTGGCATTCATGGTTGGTGAGCGGGTGTTGCTTCGAGTGTCGCCTATGAAGGGAGTGATGATATTTGGGAAGAGGGGCAAGCTTAGCCCTAGGTTCATTAGCCCGTTTGAGATTCTTGATCGAGTGAGAGAGGTGACTTACAGACTTGCGTTGCCGCCGAGTTTATTAGTTGTGTATCTAGTGTTTCATGTGTCCGTGCTTCGGAAGTATCACAGCGATCCATCCCACGTGTTAGATTTCAGCACTGTCCAGCTGGACAAAGACTTGTCTTATGAGGAGGAGCCGGTAGCTATTTTAGACTAGCATATTCGTCAGTTGAGATCAAAGAGTTTCCCTTCTGTTCGTGTTCAGTGGAGAGGTCAGCTTGTTGAGGCAGCGACCTGGGAGTCCGAGTTCGATATGCAGAGCCGTTACCCCCATCTTTTCTCCGACTCAGGTACTTCCTTCTTATGTCCATTCGAGGATGAACGGTTGTTTTAGAGGTGGAGAATATGATGACCCAAAAGGTCATCACTTGTTTTAGAAATAAATTCTGGGTCCCGAGGCCTTAAAACCTCATTTTTGTCTCACCTCGATTTGTGTACGTAGTCCGGGCGTGAATCCAGAAAGCCTTTATGTGAAAATTTGTGAAATATGGAAAAAAGGTAAATAATTCAAATGGTTGGCTTGCCTAGCTTTCACTAGTAGGCGTCATCACGACTCCCGAGAGTAGGAAATTCGGGTCGTGACAAGTCAACCCACTCCCATTTCATCTATCTCGTTGCAGGCGTGCAACCCACTCGCATTTACAATTCAACATCAGCCATAAAAGAATCTCGGCAAGGGAACAAGAGTATAACAACAACATCCCGGAAAGGGAGACAATATCATAAATACTAACATCCCGGCAAGGGAGACCATATCATAAATAATAACATCCCGGTAAGGGAGACAATATCATAAATACTAACATCCCGGCAAGGGAGACCATATCATAAATAATAATATTCCGGCAAGGGAGACAATATCATAAATAATAACATCCCGGCAAGGGAGACCATATCATAAATAATAACATCCCGGTAAGGGAGACAATATCATAAATAATAACATCCCGGCAAGAGAGACCTATCATAAATAATAACATCCCGGTGCAGCAGCTTTTGTACCTTAGCTTTGGTTGCTGCCCTCAGTCCATTGGGAGATCCGAGGTAGTCCTGCAGGCGTCTGCAGGCCTTGGTGTCTCCTTCTATCCTTTCATCCTGTTTCACTTATGTATTTTCGAGACAGTATTGTATTTATTTTTCGGACCCTTATTTGTAGTATTCCTAGACCGTCTGTGAAATTGTGACACCAGTTCTGGGTAGTCTTTGTTTAAGGAATTGTATTGGTAATACTTAAATGGTTATATTTTGTTCTTCTCCTTATTAAATTCCGATGTTTATATAATTGTTAGTTCATAATTGTTAAAGGATTAAATAGAAAAAAGGTAAATAATTCAAATGGTTGGCTTGCCTAGCTTTCTCTAGTAGACGCCATAACGACTCCCGAGGGTGGAAAATTGGGGTCGTGACAACCATGCTCAACAAGTGTTCTTCAGTTTTATTATTTTTACTTTATTATTCGAAATTCATTGCTCTTAGCTGACCTCGAGGCCTCCAATAAAGTCGAGTTTGAGGTCCTTATTGTTTTAGCAACACTGGTTTGGTTCATGAATTCTTCTTACTTAAACTTAATATTATTTGCATATTCACTAGTATTGGAATCACTACAAAAAAAAACTGGAATTAGCTACGAACGTCGTCGCTAAAGTGCTCATAGCTAGCAGAATCTTTTGATAATCCGTTGGTAAATGAAATTAGCGACGGATTTTTCTGTTTAGCTACAAATTTTGACCGTCGCTAAAACCTATTTTTTTAGTAGTAAATAAATCACATATCTTTAAAACCACAAATCACATTTAATTGTTACTCCCATTTTTCGAGGTAAACAGTCTGGCTTCGATCTCGGGATCTCGATTATGAAGAACTGATGAACAAAAGTAAGAATTTTGAATAATAGAGAAAAGGGTTCATTATCCACTGCATAGCTTCATCTGGTCATCGAAGGGAAACAAGTGTTGTACTGTATACGACATGGCTTCCCATGGCAAATGAATTTCCAAATATCTCTTCTATTAAGTCAAAGTATTCAGGCCCTTTGTATCTGTATTTAGAGATATTTATTTTCTTTTCTTTCATTATCTGAAAAATATTTAATATAATATGTTAGTTGAGAATGCGTAAAAGTACAATATACATATTTTTACTCATCTCACAAACTTACCAGCACATGTTTTTGTCAAATATAGCTGGGCAAGTAATTGTGTTATTTTCAGGATCCCAACCATAGCCGGAGGAAGAATTAAGGAGGGTCCTGAAGTTTTTCGTGTCTGTCCTTAACCTTTGATGTTTGGACTTAATGCGATTTTCGTCATAAGTGTCTTTCTTCCAGATTTCATCCAAAATTCATCGATAACTTCCCTCCATCGTAGAGCACTAAAGGGTTGAACCATTGAACCCATATTTCCTTGCATCCTCATGTAGGATATGGATGAGGATCGGCGTGGCCTCGTCCAACCAATTTTCAGCATTTACACCACGTGGCTTATTCATTCTTTTACGTTTCTACAATATAACAATAATAGAATAATCAATCACATATGAATGTTTTCATCTTTAGAGTGCATAACAACTGAAAATAAGCCTTATAAGTAATATTGAAGGCACGCACATAGCAGCAAAAACGAAAAAAAAAACTTTAAATCAAGTTACCCTGTTAACTAGTGGCGGAGCAGTCATAGAATTCTCGTCTGAAATCCCAAAGCCAGCTTCAGGTGTGACATGCATAATACAAGAAGCCCGAACCATCATTGAACCAACCAGATAAAATTGACACGACCAAAAAAAGTAAAGCATAAAAGATTTCCAGCAAATTGAGAAAAAAGAAAAAATCTTCAGAGTATAGTAGAAGTGGGGAGACATAAGTTATTATGCAGTCAATAATAGACATATACGACCACAAACAAAGAAGAAGTTGAAGTTTCAAACAAACACAAATTGAAGAGTTACAAATAAAGAAATTGCAATGCAAGAAGAACTCACATACATGTAAGAGTTTCCAAATCTATGAAAAAATCATACAAATCAAGCAAATAATAGTAAATTTTAGCAATTACCATCAAAGAAAATCATTGCAGCTGATGGGAGATGCCAAGCCCTTGCCGGATTAGGATGGCAAAAGCAGCCGCGCACTTTGGAGAGAAGAAGACCTGCGTGTTTTGGATTGTGGGTCGTTGTAGGTTAATAATTGATGGGGTCACTTTATAAATTTTAAAAGTATAGGGTAAATTTATAAAATTAAAAACAAGTAAAAATGCATTTTCAAGTGAAATTGGAAAAATTGGTAATATATGGATAACCAAACATTGTATTCACAATTATTTTTGGAAAAAAGCCAAATGTATGTCCAAACGGGCTCTTTATATCGTGTAAAACAAAAGTCATTAAAGCAATGGTTTTAGGCCCCAATTTTAGGGGCATGAGGTACAAATAGTACATTTTAGGGCTTATTTTTTACATTAACTAGTTTTAGTGTACGTGTGTTGCCTATGCACACAACGTCAATTAATAAATATTGGAAAAAATGAATTTTTGTTAAACAACATTGACACTAAAAGGAATATCACGTTTCTATTAGATGATAAAAATAAATATAAATAAAATTGATTAAAATCACCCAATAGATCATCAATATCCGGTATATCTTGCATAATTAGTTATTTAGACAAAATTTTGAAAACATTTAACTGTTGGATATAAATATTTTAACTATTTTTTTGGGTGCGGCCCTTCTCCGAATTTAGTGTGAATGCGGGATGCTTTGTGCATCGATTTATTAAATAAAATATTTGTAGAAAAGTCTCTTCCGTTAAGATAGCATGCGAAAAATATCATCTTATGGAATAACACACATACAAAATTATATATTAATACGAATTTTTGAAACCATAAGAACTACAAATTCCACATTATAAAACCAATGTAAGGCTCAAAGGCATTGAACTTTGAAGGATAAAAGACATTATTGTGCTTTGGTGTTAGAAGACTTTTGCATTAAAACGTATAATTCAGTATTAGTTATTATTTGTAATGAAACAATAAAAGAAGAAGAACAATATTGTAGAGAAAGAGAGAGAGAATTCTTATTGAATTTTGGGATAAATTACAATGGAATTGTCACGATCCAAAAATCGACCCGCTCGTGATGACGCCTATCGTGAAACTAGGCCAGCCGACACAACTCCCGAATCAACCCTTTACCAATAAAAGTTGATTTTATGCCATTTATAAATGGATAATCTCATAATAAAATTTAAAAGAAAAATGCAGAATAATTACATCGGGGTGTCACTAGTTATGAGTATCTACCAAGGTCTTAATACAACAAGAGTCTAAAAAATGTACTAAATACAGTAATGAAAATGAGGGGAAGGAAAGTAGTGCTGCGAACGTCGTGCAACTACCTTGCTAACTCCGATGACTCCTCCTCTAAGCAATCAACACTCGCTACCGGGTTCTGAAAAACCTGAATCTACACACGAGGTGCAGGGAGTAATGTGAGTACTCCAACCTAGTAAGTAATAAGAGTAAATAAAGATTGGGCGAAACATAGTTCGTATACAGCCTCTTGGCAAAACAGAAATTCATACCCATTTCATAATTTAAAACTTCAGTTTAAATGAAAGTCGTTTAAAGCATTTGTTCAACATTTTCAATAGAGGCTCGGTCTAAATATGAGCGAAAGCAATAATTAAATCAACACATTCGATAGAAACTCACTTTAAGGAGGAGTGAAAAACACTAAGTTCATAACCAGGCCCTTCAGGCAAGCATCACTCGTGTACATGTATATATATAGCCCCTCGGGCAAGCCTCTCAATCATTCGTGACTCAACTCTTACCAATCAACGTTCATGCTCAGCACTCACACTCAATAGGTAGCATATAGTAACCAATGCGGCGTGCAGCCCGATCCATATATATAGTCGACTACGCTCACTGGGGGTGTGCAGACTCCGGAGGGNGGGAACTCAGCCCAAACAATTTTCACATTTTAAGAAGTAAAGTGATAAAACTAGATTTAAACAATAAACGAGTAAAATATGACTGAGGATATGCTTTCAAAACAAATAGAGTGAGGAAAAATAGTAAAAGTGCCCCTAAGGGTCTCAACAGGTTGGCACAAGGCTCAAAACATGACATACAACCCAAAGTATAATATGAATCTCTAAAATATGGAATATCATAAGATTTCAAATCAAATATGTGACTTAACAGTCGTACGGGATGGACCAAGTCACAATCCCCAATGGTGCACGATTCCTAGCTCGTCATCTAGCGTGTGCGTCACCTCAAAGTAGCACAACAATGTGAAATCCGGGGTTTCAAACCCTCAGGACAACATTTACAATCATTACTTACCTCGATCCGGTCCAAACTCTAGCCTGTGATGCCTTTGCCCTCACGAATCGACCTCCGAATGCTTCAAATCTAGCCATAATCATTACATAACCATTAAAATATGCTAAGGGAACAAAGCCCACTCGAAAATATCCAATTTACATAAAAAATCCCGAAATTGCTCAAACCCGGCCCCAGGGCCCACAGCTTGGAATCCGATAAAAGTCACATCAATAGAATTCTCATCCACTCACGAGTCTATACATACCAAGAACATCAAAATCGGATCTCAATTGCCCCTTCAAATTTCCCAATTTACACTCTCCAAATCCAAGCCCTAATTCCCCAATTTTTTGGCTTTAATTTCCACATTTTTCATGATTAAATAAGTAAGAATCAACAAAAGATCAAGTATTGAGTTCAAAAATCTTACCTCCAAGTTTTATCTCTTGAATCCCTCTTCAAATCCTCTCAAAAAGCTCCAAAATCACCCAAAATGGTGAAAGTTAGCCCCAAAATCGCGGACAATGACTATTTAAACATTCTGCCCAGGCATAAAAAACCTTCTCCACGAACGCGGTCAACACCTCACGTTTGTGAAGCACAATCCAGCTTTGACCAAAAATCCTTCTTCGCGATCGCGTCTTGCCACCCGCGAACGCAATGTTTTCCTCAGACTAACCCTTCGCGATCGCGTAACCTCTCTCACGAACGCGATGAATAAACACCCTGAAGCTCAGCTGCCCAATTCCTCTTATGCAAACGCGATCCACTTTACGCGAACGCGATGACCAATCACACAGCCCTTCGCGAACGCGGAGCCTGCCTCGCGAATGGGAAGGCTAAAATTCTAGCCTTCACTAGCTAACCCTTCGTGAACGCGACGACCTACCCGCGAACGTGAAGGCCATTTCTCTGCAACACAGATCAAAAATTTTCTGCAATCCCAAACAATATGAAATGGTTCGATTGACCACCCGAAACTCACCCAAAGCCCTCGGGACATCAACCAAACAAGCCAACATATCCCATAACCTCATTCAAACGTGTTCCAACCTTTGGAACACTCAAAACAACATCAAAACACCAAAATCACATCGGATTCAAGCCTAAGAATCTCAAGAACTTCCAAATTACGCTTTTGGTCAAAAACCCAACCAAACCATGTCCGAATGACCTGAAATTTTGCACACACGTCATAAATGACACAATGGAGCTATTGTAACTTCTGGAATTCCATTCCGACCCCTATATCAAAATCTCACATATCAACCAGAAAATGCCAAAATCTAAATTTTGCCAATTCAAGCCTAAACTTTCCACGGACATTCAAAATGTATTCCGATCATGCTCCTAAGTCCCAAATCACCTAACAGAGCTACCCAAAACATAAAAATTCTGATCCGAGATCATGTACAAACAAGTCAAATCTTGGTCAAACCTTTCAAATTTCAAGCTTCAAACTGAGAACTGTTCTTCCAAATTCGTTCCGATTACCCTGAAAACCAAAACCAACGATTTACATAAGTTATAATAACATCACATGGGGCAAGTCATGCCCAGGAACTGGCGAGCAAAGTGCAAAAGCTCAAAACGACTGGTCGGGTCGTTATATCATCCCCCACTTAAACATACGTTCGTCCTCGAACGTGCTCAGAGTTGTTTCAAAAGCCAACCAATCGCTGAATAACCTTACTATGCACATACTCGGGGGTGATCCTATGTCACCCTATCTCATATAGGTCCGATAACATATTGTAACTGAAATTTCACAATCCAACCTAGCCCATAAGCCTTAGAGCCACATTTCTACTTCGAAAATCATCCACAAGATTAAAATCTCACATCTATACTCTGAATAAGTCCGAACCAGCTGTAGTAACCCATACTTGCTGTCACACCTCCTTTTTTACACCTCGAGGGGATATAATGGGGTTTTTCCAATTTAAGTGACATTATTCAAAATGGGATTATTTCATTTCATTTCTCAGAGTCGCCACTTGGAATATTTTAATTGGTGTCCCAAGTTACCGGTTTATTTTTAAATCCCGAATCAAGGAAATTCGACTTTCCTTTTGAAGTCTGCGAACCAAAAATTCTAAGTAAGGAATTCTGTTAACCCGGGAGAAGGTGTTAGGCATTCCTGGATTCCGTGATTCTAGCACGGTCGCTTAAACTATTAAAATTGGCCTATTATCTGATTTATCACATGTTTTAGCCTATGGTACAATTTTAACTTATTAAACCGCTTTATATTATTTTTAGGAAGATTCAACGTTATTTAAAACACGCCTTGAACCACACCACATGAAATGCACCCGCGGTCCGCGACACATTTTATTTAACGTTGTTGAGATTTGAATTTGGGTCACATGAAATGCACACCCGAGTTTAAGGAAATTAATTTAAATTATGCGCCTAAAGCAACTACGCACTTTCAAGTTTGCGACGGTCATGGAAAATTCGACTAAATGACACACCTTGATTTCTAAAGAATTAAAATTAACTAAATGAGGGCCATGCATTTTAGATTTATTTGACATGGCACACCTCGATTCCGATTTTTAAAGGAAACTCAAATTAAGCTCTTGAGGGCCATAAACTATATCTTACTTAATATGGAATGCCTCAAATCTAATTGTCTAAAAATTCTTAGTTTTAAAATTATGAGGGCCATAGACTATTAGTGTTATTTACTATGGCACACCCCAACTAATTAACGGAATATAAATAATTAAACACTAAAGAGTTGGGATTTTTACCCCTTTTTAATCTAATGTTCATACTAACTTAAACAGAACCCTTTG